GGTCCTGGCTAAGCAAATACGAGTACATAACACAAGGACACGTTTTGCAGCTTAAACGGCGGCAAGGATGCTTTGGAAGAGCGAACTTCACATGAAAGGCGGTTTCGGTGTAGTAGGCAGCCTTTAAACTCGGCCCCAGGCTCAGAGACTGGAGACAAGAACACCCTTTGGCCGGGCCAGGACCAGGAACAGGACCAGAACGCGCAGATAGCGGCACAGAGTAAACTCAATAAGTCGCATAAAAGAATGAAATTGGATGCCATCGCAAACAAACACAAACGATGCCGACAATGTGGTCTTTGCCAGAGATCCTTCGGCATCTCCGGCCTCGGTCTCCCCCCCCAGCTGCCAACTGTTGGAATTTCTTTGAGCCGTGCGGCAACTGCGTCGTCATCCTCCGAATCACCAGTTCCCGGGTCCTTGGCTCCCGGTATCTGTGCTCTTCTCTGTGGCTTTCAAGTTTAATTAATTGCGACACGGATTCGGCGTGGGCGTATCCCGATCGGGAGAGAAGAAAGCCTTTTGTGAGTCGAGCTTCTAATGAGGGTTAATTGAAAGCGGCAAACTTCTGTGGGGAGCCTGATTTTGTGTGTTCTTCCACGCTGCGAAGCTAAACTTTTCGAAAATGTATTTCCAGTCAAATGTCTTAAATTAGAAATGTGGCTTAGTTTACTTTAAACCCACTTAGTCTAAAGATATTTTAGCGCTTGATTATCCTATTTTGCTTTATAAAATTAGTTTATGAATTGAATTATTTAATAATCTATTGCTCTGTTATATATTCCTCTTACAAAATAAGTTCCCCCTTCCTGCTAGACTTGTCAGCCAAATTAGCCGAATCATATCAAGTGCCGGAAAGTGTTTTTCAACTCTCTTTGTTTTAGTTGACAGTTGATCAAAATACATTTTAATAAACGGCAGATGTGTAACACACAACAAGCAAGACCCTGCCTAAGAATATATTTTATCCCGGTTCAGTATACAACAGGACAACCCCTAACCCGGTCTACCTTTTGTGACCTGACATTTATTTACCCTTGCGGTGGCTTTGTTTTCCCTGGCTTTCGTTTTGAGCTCCTACTCCTTCTCCATATTATTGTTGTTATGCCAAGGTGGCATAATGTGTTAATTGCTTAGCCCACACCCACACCCACTCCCACCCTCGCCCACGCCAAGCGGCACTTGAGGGCAGCTGTCGCTCGAGTCCGATGCATATTTCATTTGCCATTTAATTACATCAACGGGAATGTCTCGAAAAAGAAATGCAAATGTTCATTAACTGCTCTGGGCACTCTGGGCACAAATCAGGACAAGTGCCCAATAAATAGCCTTAAAAGGCCGGGCCACTCCCCAAACGCCCCGAAGAGACTGCGGTCCTGGAGGAGGCGGCACCCTCTCCACCATGACAATAAGTTAAACAAGTTGAAAAGCATTTTTTTTTTCCACAATTTCGATTTCCATTGCCCAGTGGGACCAGGCTACTTAGGCATTCAATGACTTTATTCATGCGATTTGATGACCCGCACAGGACATTCGGGCTCCCGATGAACGAGCTTGTTTGGCAGTCGGACCAGCGATCGTTTTCATTATTAGATTTGTATAGGATTTCATGGGGCCGGGGGCCACAAATGAACCTAATATGCATTATTATTATGGCATGTGAAAACGAAAGCGTTGCGGGTTGGGGAGGGGAGTCATCAACTATGTCGATAAAACGGTCATGCGAGCAAACGAATGCCAAAGTTGAAGTAAATATTCAATAAAAAATAATCGAAGCAGAAACCAGAACGGAGCACACAACGAAATGAGCATAAAAATGTGGAAATGTCGAGGAGGGAAATCCAAATGTAAACTCCAGCTCAAATCCAAAGGCGGAACCCGAAGGCGAAGGCAAAGACGCAGCCCAAGTGGAATGCAATAAAAATCTATTTTATTTGTTAGTGAAATGACATTTTTATTTGTTTGCTGTTTATGCACATCCCCACACACAAGCACAGGCTCACTCACACAGCGAGGACGTAAGCAACGCCCCGGGGCTGTCTGTGTCACGTCACACATGTCGTATGAGCAATATATGCAGATAAATAAACTATTACACGGGATTATTATTTGCCTTTGGCGGAGGATATTTTGACAGGTTTACGATATTTAATCATTTGACTATGCAAAATATTTGACACAAACTTTAGCCTCTGTCTTTTATCTTTGTTTATTTTTGCTGCTAATAAACCCAATAAAAGTGGTCGTTGCACATGGAAATAGTCATGTTTATTTGCCTAACTAAACCAAGACATGCAGTAAGTCTCCTTCGGAAAGACTCAGTATATATGTATATGTGTATGTGTATCTCATCATCAATCCATCCATCCCCACTCGATTTGGTTTGCTCCATGGCAAATTAAGTTTTAATTAAACTCTTTTGGCCCTCGGTTTAATGCGGCGTATGATTGAGTCGACTGGCGGCGGCTTTAACCCTTGACTGAGCCCCAGACAACCCCTGCAGGATAACGCCTCGCACTCAGCTCTCCTGTCAGCGAGTAATCCAAACAAAAGTAATTGTCATCTCTCCCCGGACATATGTTCCGGCTCTCAGGACTCCGAAGGTTCCGGGGCTTTAGGGGAAGCAACGATACACCGAAGTGTGTAAGTGTTAATGATCGTCTGGCTGTGTTTTTTTGGGCGTTAATCTGCCGTTTAATTTTCGGGCTTAACGCGTTTTGTTTTGGTTACCATCGCCGATAATCCTCGGGCTTAGGCCAGGGCTCAAACCCCTGTTCAAGGGCCGTTTTTTGTCGGGCGAGCGGAACAAACCACAAAGTGACACAATTTCAATTGGACCCGGATAGTTTATTCCCTTGTCTGTCAACGAATATTGCCATTTAAACAACAATCAAACAAGCCACAGAGAAATTCATTCCATTGCCATACACAAATGCAAATCCAATCAAACTTTTTAAACAAACATTTAACAAATCTATTACAATGCAATGACAGGCGCACCCAAAAAGAAACCGACGAAAAGTGGGCGACCAAAGCAAAGCCCCGAAATGAACTCATCTAAACGAGAAATTCTATTTGGTGGATGGCTGGCTGGTTTTTGCAAAGAAACAACTCAGTCAACTTTGGTTACATTTCCTTTTTGGCCAGCCTATGTGTGTCCAGGTGTGCGCTCTGTGTGTGTGTGTGTGGAAACTTAATCAAAACAAATTTCCACCTTCAACGAGTTGCACACCAAGCAATTTCCCAGGCCCAGTCAAAGAGCAGAATAAAAAAAAAAATAGAAAGGAAAGGAGTAAAAACGATAACTAGAACTTCATGCAAACTAACCGCAAATACGATTACAAACACACGGGGGAGGACACCGGTAAGCGGTGGGGAAATGCGGCTGAATGGTACTGCTGGTGCACCCCACTAAATCGAAAAAACGAGTCAAAGGGTTGGAGAGCTCCCTCCCCGCTCCTCGCTCCTCGCTCCGGTGCCTGCTGGCATAATTTGGATTCGTGTCAATTTGACAAAGTGACACATGAGGGCCAGGCCCAGAAGGAGAAATTTTTATGCGATTTCGCTTCATTACCTTTGTATTCCGTTTATACGGCCCGGGCTATAGATACACCTATAAATACATAGGGCATTTTCGGTATTTGTTTATTTATTTATGTGCCCTGGGTTGTGTTGGAGACGCCGACGACAGTGTCGCCAACTCTCCTCTGGCTGTGGGCACGATAATGTTTAGTCAATAAAAATGATTTGTCGGCCGAGGAAACGAAACGAAATCGTGAAATTTGATATGTCCTTTGCATTTACCGGTGGCTCCGACTCCCTACTTACATTTTTCCTCCCCCAAACTATGTCCTTACTCCTACTTTTTGTTGCGGTTGGAAAAAGTATGCCAGTCGCCCGGTCCACTTTAGGTTCTTAGGCAGCCTCAGGCTCTGGACAGGATCTTTCTTTACAAAGAAGATGATAGTTTTAGCTTGAAGCTACACATATCTAAAGCAATACAAATCTTTAGACCATTTTATTTTGGTTGATACTATAGGCAACCTATTCAGTAATTGCTTCAAATGAATATCAAAATAATATCAAACCATGTTGTATACCCTTTCTTTCCCGCTTAAAACTTAATACCCATCCAAAAATATCTGCTTCTTAAGCGTATTTTATGCTACACCGCTGTGAATGGAATTTACGAGGCGCCCTGCCCGTTCACGTCACAATTTGCCACCCGAAACGAATGGCTGCCAGACATGGCATCCTCTGCCACATCGCCCTTCCTTCCCCAATGCCAATGCCGCGGCGTCTTCGAGCATAAAAGGCGCATAGTCGCATAAAATGCATAATTCTCTCCAAGGAAGAAAAGCAAACTTATTGAATGGGCCACAGGCAACTTGAAAACTCTTTCGGCGTTGTCATTTCGCGATTGAGACATAAATTGTTCCATGCACTTGGAGGCAAGTTATGCGCATAGTTTGACAAATATTATGTCTCTAAAGGGAGGGAGGAAATAAATATTCGTAAAGTACCAAGCGAGTTCTTGAATAATAAAGAAATATAATTACTTATTTTTAAGGGCAGAAGTTAAAGAGGAACCAGGACTTTGATCTTTAAGTTAGCTCAATCTTCCAAGTAATTTTCTATTTTATTCCTTCTACCCAAAGCTAGTGCCTGAATTATTCCCAAAAGAATGCTTTATTCCTCCTTTTAGGAGTCTTTTGCCATAAGTTCCTGCCAAGAAAGAAAGATGTATGCATATCTAGCACTTTGCACTTAGTAGGACTCTAGATCCAAAGGGATGATAACCAGCAGGCACAACTTAATTTCGTTAAAATAAATCGCCAACGGAAATTATTTAATTTCCGGAGCCTGGCTGCCAGGGACTCCGCTTGCTTCTCCCCCATGCAGACACGTTGATTGCACAATTAGCAGAGTTTTAGGTGTAAATCACTCTCAGCACTAGATACTCGTAAGATACACAAAGGGAACTTGGAATGATGACTCACCTGGACGCGGACCTCGGGCAGGTTCACCTTCATGGCCAGCTCCTCGCGGGAATAGACATCGGGGTAATGTGACTTCTCAAAGGCCCGTTCCAGTTCGTGCAGCTGATAGGTGGTGAAGGTGGTGCGATTGCGTCGGTGCTTCTTCTTGGCACAGTTGTCGTCCTGGCCTAAAAAAATAAATACAAAGGATCACAAGAGTATGTGAGTTTATTTTAAAAATTATAAAGTTAGTAATAGGTAATTAGAATCCTTTCACCCACCTTCATCGTCACTCCCCGAGGTTATCTTCTCCCCCTGCTCGCTGCTGTTGGTCTGGTTGAGATCCTCGCTGGAAGCACAGCTGCCGTTCACCAAACTATCGCTGTCCGCATTCAGCCGCTCGCCATGATCGCCGGCGGAGCCGTTGCCATTGCCATTGGAATGCCCGTTGCCATTGCTGCTGCTGTTGCGATAGTCGTGCTGAAAGCTCTGCTGTTGCTGCTGCTGCTGGTGTTGCTGCGACTGTTGCTGCTGCTGTTGCTGGTGATGCTGCTGATGCTGCACTTCATCCAGGCTGCGGGCTCGGATGGCATAATTGCCCCCCATCTGGCCGTTGGCCAATTTGGGCTCATTATCATCACAGAAAACGCCGGCGGACTTGCGCTTACCGGCGGCGGCGGCGGCAAGCGGACCACGTGGCGCCGGAGTGGGCGGCGAGGTTACGTCCAGGGGCAGCTTTGCCGCGTCATCGTCGTCCTCCTCCATATCGCTGGTGGAGGACATTGAACGCTCGTCGTAGCCAATCTGCGACTGCGCGCCCGGCGCCGTCTGGCCGTCCAAGAAGTAACCGCCAGGCGGAGGAGGAGGCGGCGATGACTTGACGTATTTGCCGTGCTGATTCTGCTGATGCTGTTGCTGCTGCTGCTGTTCCTGCGCCTGCGCGGCCAAGGCGGCCAAATGTTGCTGGTGGCTACCAAAAGAGCTGGGCGGCAGCGGGGGCGGAGGAGCAGCCGGCTGCATTTGATTGGCCTCGACCATCTGATGCATCGAGTTGAGGTAATTGCCCGCCGCTTCCTCCTGGGGCCCTCCGTATCCATGTCCCTGTGCAAACCCAAAGGCATTGTGGTAGCCAAAGGGCGCATGCCCATGGTGCGCAGGATGATTGGAGATGGAGGGATGCGCCGGATGACCCCCACCGATGTGCTGTCCATGTCCATGCAGGGGCGCCGCACTCTGAGTCTGACTCTGGGCCTGCTGCTGCTGCTGCTGGCCGCCGGGTGGAGTTGGGGGGCCATAGGGCAGGACACCGCCGTTCTTGGCATGTTGCTGCAGCATGCTGGCCATGTGGCTGTCCATATTGCGCAGCTGCGTCAGGGTCATGCCGCAGCGCAGATCCGTGGCGTCCTCGTCGCCCATAGAGGGATCGATTTCGCCTGAAAAGTGGTGAAGGTTAAGAAGGTGAGAATGAGGGTAAGTCAAGAGTTCATTATAGATATGAAAGTATGGCATAAGGAAGTGTTTCTGGTACCCTTATTGACCTGCAATTGCTGCTGAAAATCAACAGCAACATCGATCTAAGCAAAGCTCTTATAAATATGAGAAAACTTTGAAAGGATATACGTATTTCCCAAGCTGGTCTTATGTCAAATAGCCCCCAAAATTGTTACCCAATAGGCAATTAGTTGAGAATGATCAACGGCTTATACATCATTGTGTGGGGTACTGTACTCCCACGCTTTTAGCCACCTGATTCGATTTTAATTAGTATGCCCAATGAGGCGGGCAGACAAGTCATAAAGCCGCTTGCCAGGCCGTCTAATAACGACGTGTTATTTAATTTGGTGGTTGGCGGGGCCAACTTCGACCTGCAGCGGGTCAAACCTGTTGGCCGCCCAACCACTAATAAACGGCTTTCAATTAGCCGCCTCGTATTTACAATGTGCGGCAATAAAAGTTCTCGGAAAACGAGTCGAAATGCCGGAGGTCCGTCCATGGGGCGGGGAGTTCCAGATGAGGCGCTGGCGCTGGTCCCTAATGGGCGTTCCGACTGGCGCTTGTGCATATCACGTGACATGCAAGGAAGTCATTAGTTGTCGCCGCGCCAGCACCAGTCTATATATATATACTATATCCTTAGCCTTAGCTTTTTAGGGGGCGTTGGGCTGGATTTTGTGTAACCGAATTCAATTTCTATGCTAAATTGGCTTTCGGGGCGGGCCGAATCGTTGAATCGAAACAAAACCAATTACCCAGTTAGACTGGGAAGTTGCAACTCGAAAATAAAATATCTGTAATTATCTGATAGTCTTTCGGGTAATTGCTTTCTGATGTAAGCCCGTAGTCGGAGTCCATAATGTAATTATGTGCCTCGTCGTGCCGATTCGACTCAGCCCGATTAATTGGGTCAACATTTTGGCTAATTAACTTTAAACAGCAGCCAAAACGAAAATTGTAAATGCCCCGAATTAACCTCTGCTGGCATTTTCACCAATCAATCGAAATTTACACGCCCAGCGTGCGTCTTATTTTGAGCCACTGTGGTGCTAATGAAATTAACAACAAAAGGCATTTTGAAAGCCTCTGCAAATCAAGTAGCAGTCGCACCACAAAAGCCGCCCAAAAAAGGTTTTATTTGAATGTGTGTGAGCCACATGAGGTGAGAGACAGTAGCGGCACCACCTAGGAAACCCTCGGTAGTTCCCCGGAACCCCTCTTACCCACTATTTTCCAAGCCAGCCGCCACCGCTGGGCGGCGGCCCACACGGAGTGCGTGAGTTAATTGCGTGAGCAGCGAAAAATAAAAGGTTAAGACAAAAGTTTTACTGCCTGGCGTTCACTCGGGAGCAATCGGGCAGAGTGTGAATGATGTGATGAATATATATCCGAGGGAATTTCTCACAAAAAAACTAATCATAAGTCACTTTTTGGCTACCTATTTTTGTTTGTTATCAGTAAGTTTTTGGTATTATAACTCATAAGTATTACCTTTTAAAATATATTAATTGCTTTAGTATATCTTTCAAACCTTAAGTATATTTAACCGAAGCAAGAACAAGATTAATAACATATTTAAAGAATTATTAGAATTAGATAACATTTAAATAAAACTTAGATAATATAAGAAAACATATTTTTAGTCCAAATATTTTGCAAATAATTAAAAAAGATATATATATTACTTAGATTAATAAATCAAATTAACTTTATTGTTGGTTATTACATAAAATAACTCATTTCTTTGCACCTCAGATAGTGCAAATAATATGTTATTACCCGTCTTCTAATAGTAAATAAACTTTCCTTAAAGAAGATTGAATAATTCCTGTTTAATACGGTTAATTTAGAAAACATTTCAAATAAAATCAAAGAAAATGTAGAAAAATAATATACAATATAAGAAATTATATATTTTTAAGATCAGTTCAATTCAGATCTCCTTTATTATTTATTAAATTAATAATTTTATTTATTCATTTCTTTTCACCTCAAATAGTCTTGAAAAACATGTTTTTATCCCCTTTTCTAATGGTGAATGAACCTTGTTTTTTATTCAATTTCCATTCACTGACTGGAGGAGACTCGATGCCCAGGTTGAGCATTCATTCAGTGGTTGGTAGCCCCATAACAAACTGATCGACAGATCAATTAAGAAATGATTTCCGTACGCTCTCCATTAACTTGGCAGCTGGAAATTGGTCAGCAAAAACAAGCTACTCGCCTGCCCGATTTGGAAATGCTAAAAGGTCCAAGTGGGTATGGCAGCTACTGACTAGTTTTGCCCCGAGAAAGAAACAGAGATTCTAGACCCACGATTAGAAACTGGGATGTACTCATTTTGCTCTAATTTGGCTTGTGTTTCCGAGGAATCCAGCCGAAGTGAGGGACAAATTGACGTTAATCGCGTCACTTCTTGGGCACATCCCCTGCCGCCGCCGTCTAATCCTAATGATGATTTGACAGTTTCCCATTGTTGGGCAAATACTTGGCCATTAGGCGGCCTAATTGATATGTTATTAGCCGCACGGCGCGAGTTTCCAAGAGTCATGGAGGAACAGGTAAGGGGTCGAGACCCAAAGGAAATGCACATTTCTGAGAGGGGCTACCCTCTGCCCCTCTTGTTCACCGGAAGATCTTTACAGCCAGATGAGACGCGATATCGGATTCATATCAAAAAGCGAAACAAGCCATAAACAAAACTGTCAATCACAAGTGGAACAGGGAACGGGGAAGAGGGGGCCTCTCTGAAAAGTGGTAGAAGCCACAAAAGGCGGCTAATAAGACGACGCCGACGCACGGCCGCAGACACGCATTAAAATCATTAAGGCGACTTAATGCTCAATTTAATGCCGCGTCAACTGCTTAACAGATCTCGTGTAGATGGATCGTGAAGGGGATCACTTCAGTCGTCTCTTTCTGCCCGAGTATCCCTCTCTCTCCTGCCGCCTATCTGCCATCTCCGGGATGCAGAGCAAGTTGGCCAAATGCACTTGTGCCTCCTGCGCTTTTAATGATTGTTTACATCTCAATCTCCCCTCCCCGCGCCTGCTTAGCTCCATCTCTCTCGCGGGCACTCTGCCCGTCTCTTTCCGACAGGCATTTGTCTGGTGGGACGCCACCGCCGCCGCCGCCAGCTGTCAGTTTAAATGCTTTTTGACGGCTTGTGTCTGGCCGCCAGTTTAATTACGGCTTAAATGCGAAACGCTCTGAGCCTGCCTTGCAGCCACCCCCAGGCCCCCTTCCAACCTCCTCGTACTTCCTCTGTTTATTGAACGCCTCTAATTCGCCGCCAGCTTCTAATTAATTTGCGGCCATTTAACCTGTGTTTTTGTTGTTGCTGCTGCTCAGCGCCATTTTGATTTGGCCGTGACGTTGTTGCGGATTTATTGCTAATGTCGTTATTGGTTGTCCGAACACTTCGGGAGTTGGTGCTGTCTGTTTATGAGACCGCCTAATTGAATTAATTGAACATCAAATTGTCTTTAATCGATTTGGCTTAATGAGGGGGGTCTAAAGACCCTTAAGTTGGCGATCTCAAGTACTTTTGATATCATTTCCTAATTAGAAATTAAGAAAATTAATAAAATATTATGGTTCTGGGGACACTTGCCTAGAGAGTTCAAAGTTGATGCCATAGATTATTATTTAATTTATTGCCTATCAATGCAAACATTTAATTATTATGTTAATGTTATTCTAGAAATGTCAGACAGAAGTCCTCATCTGTACTGATTTGTGGGTGATTAGTATTAAATATTTGTGAGGTTAAAAGTTAACCAAATTCCTATTAGGGAATCTTAGGAGCGCTCTTTTTAAAGAACTTATTTGTTCCTTTTGAACTATTTATTTTGTAAGACTTCTGCTTTGGGAACTATTAAGAGATGGCCTGATGTGATGATTTTTAGGCCCTCTGTCATTATTATTTTATAACCTAAATATATCTAACAAATTTTCAGTAAAATGTTAATTTGAAAGCTGCACCCAAAAATTTTATTCACTTTTAAGAAGTTTCTGTGTATTTAAAATAATAAAAACATTATTTTCCACAGCCAAATACAAAAATTTCTACAAAACAAATTATGTCCTGTGTCGAAATGCTAATAGGAACTCCCTAATTTCTCACCTGGTCGCTTGGATCATCCACAGTGTACAGTTATGGCCATAACCATAATCGCTGGCATATCAATGCCCACCTATTTTTCGCAACTCGCTGCCAATTGTGGCAGCGGAGTGGGCGTGGTCGGGGGCAGGGACTGAGAAGGAGTCGAAAGAGCGACAATCGCTTGCCGGCAATCAAAACAGAAGCGAAATGAATTATAAATGACGTGCAGGAGACTATTTTTGGCACCCGGCAACCTGGCAGCGCGGGAGCTGGGCGGGGGAGGAGCCGTCACCAGCTGGCACCGCAAATCCCCGCCGTAATCCAGTTAAAAAGCCTTCAAAACTACTCGCACCCCGCTCCACTAATTTGAATTGGCCCCGAGGAATGGAATGAAAGGACCCTCTAATCCCATCTATGACTTCCTTGGGGGCTTCGTTTCGTTTTCTTCACGACCGATTACCGCTGACTGATTGCTTATCAGCTGTCGTGCATCTCGAGGCGTTGCCAAAGTGCAACTCCCGACGCCACCACCCACCAGGCACCCGTCTTCCCCACCTCTAACTACAAACCACCCACCACCCCATTCAAGGCTAATACAATTTCGCGATTGTGTCTGTTGATTCCATGGCCTGCGAGCGGGTAATTGAAATCGATTTGCCTTTTATGACGGGGCCCAACGATCCCGGCTAATGCGCAAATAATGTTAGTTATTCTGGGCCCGATCAGAGAGTTGGAAGATATAATATATATGTATTCTGTGCCACGACTTACCATCGCTGATCGCTTCCGCTCGGCCATTTCCGGTTCCGTTTCCATTGCGATTCTTTAGGCCCAGAATGGCATCGATTGTGTGGCGGGGGGTCAGAGTCTGTCCGCCCGATCCGAACTTCCTGGCATTATCCTTCAGCAAGTCGTTGCTATCTGCGGGGTAAAAACGTAAATATCCATGTACCCAAATATATATATAAATCGGCAGAGAGGAGCGGTGGGGGAAACTGAATTAAAAGCCTGTTTGCCAACAGTTTGCCAAAGTCAATTAGGCGCACGACAACCGGCCGGCCCTATGCGACTCTATGCAAATTTGTCAGCAATTTCGAAAGTATTAAAATTTAGTCCAGTCCACATACACACAACTTTATTTGCGATTTTAACGAGCTAAAAGCTGTAATTGCAACGCGGACCCCCGCCGTATCCCTCTCCTAATGGCCAGTTGTCACGCCGGCATGCTGGAAAGTAGGCAACATGTTGCCTGATGGCTTTATGCATTTTTAACGAAATTAAAACAAACTGTGCCAAGTGGCGACCATGGCAGGTGGAAGGTGGAAGGTGGGAACGTGCAGCAGGAAAATCCCTTTAATTGCCTCGTCTTGCAATTAGCTTATAATTTTCTCTCAAATTTTCCGCTGTGTGCATGTTAATGCACAAAAAAACATTGCCGCGAACACGCACACACTCTGGCATTCAGGGGAGTAGAGATTATCCTGCATGTCCGTGTCCGGCAGCAATTTGTGTTAATTAAATCTATAATCAAACAATTGCAAGCCTTTTCCGGCTAAGGCCACACGCGGAAAAAAAAAATCAACTAAAACTAAATGGTAATCAAAAGACTCTAAAACTGAATTTGACCTAAATACTTTGACTTTGTTAAGTAGATATATACATTCTTATTTTACAATATGTTAAACTATTAAAAGAATATTTTAATTTGGACTTTACAAGGACTTATAAGGAATAAAGCTGAATTTATATTGAAAGATTAAATTAAAATATTTCTCCTTGATATTACCCTAATTTAATTCTATATTTTAAGAAGATTTTAAGAAGGTTTAATCAAGCGCCTAATATAAAATTCACACAAAATAAGTAAGATATTTAAATATAATATATTTAGAAAGATTTTTTAAACGCCTTGAATATAAATTTATAAAAAAAGCTTTCATTTTTAATTTGGGGAATATCCCTTAACTACTATTTATTTTAGGCATAATAAATCGAATAAATTTCAAAATCTCCCAAAAAACCTTCACCAGAAACCAAAAAAACCATTGCCGTCGGTACGGCAACACTCACCTTCCGCCGAGATCACAGTGTTGTTGTTGGCCAGATGGGCGGCATAGTGCTCGTGGAACTGCTCCAGGTTCTTGAACTTCTCCACGATCAGCTGCAGGTTCTTGGCGTCGCGGACATTGCCGAGCAGGTGTCGCAGGTGCTCCAGCTGCTTGGGCGGCAGCTTGTGGTTGCCGCCGCTCTGCTGCACCAGCTGTTCGAAGATGTGCTGGAATGTGGCGGCGGTGTTGGAGTTGCTGGCCAGCGAGGCATTGGCTGCTCCCACCGATCCTGGCCCGGATCCTGCTCCAACTGCATTATTTCCCAACTTGGCGGCCGGAGAGCCGGGCTGGGCGGCAGCCACTTCAAGGACTGGCGGCGTCGAGGCTTTAATATCCATTTTGGTTTTTATAGGGGGAGGCAGTAGTTCTCTCGTAGCGTAACGATTTGGTAAATCACAGTTGAAACACCCGGATACACGGATTGTATTTATATTTCTCTGCACTTTTTTCTCAAAATTCTGGCTAAGTGTCTAGCATTTTAAGTCACAAGCGGGAATAACGTCTCAGCACCGAAACCAGCAGCTACCGAAACCGAAACGTTGCGCACCGTGCCAAGGCAGAGTTGGCAATAAACCCGGGAGTCGAGTACAGCGACGGCTTGGGCTCAAGTTTCCAAATCAAATTGGAAACCGGTCGAGCTCACCACACCTATATATATGCACGGTTCGTTCTGCGTGTCCGTGTGTGTGCCTCGAGGGGCGGAGCCTGCTCGGCCCAGAGAGCTCGCTGGAGAGCGAGTGAGAGTGCGCAGGACTCGCCAGGAGCACACATCCCAACCCCGGCTGTGATCCATAGTCCGGAGACCTTAACAATGGGCCCAGCCAAGTGGATTGTTTGTCGGCTGCGTAATAAAATAAACTAACTGCACTTACTGCCCTCAGCTCAGCTGTCCTGTCGACAGGAGGCAGCAAAGTCCTTGCACTTCTCCGCCCTGGAATTATGACTTTACTGCCACAGATTTTTCGACCACAATTGCATCGGAAAACCATTTTGGGCTCAGGCCACAAAGTGTGTGTGCCGCCTCGCTCTCGCTCTCTCCTCACCCTGTCTCCATTCCTTCCCATCGGCACGAGTGGCTCCGTCTTGCTCTGGCGCTTCACCCAAGGAGCGTGAAACCTAAAACGGATACATAAGTGGATTTTGTTAATATCCTGCTATTGTTACAAATTTGCAAACTGATTGCGGCAAGCGGCATTTGTCAAGGAAATAAACTTAAAAGCATTCAGGAAGCGGCTGAGGTCAGGGATTTTATTTCTCGTGCTAGTTTTTTGCTGGATGTTTTTGAGTCTGGGAATTTTTAAGCTGGATACTGGATTATTTATATTAATTTAATTTTCTGGTGAGCATTATGAGTATACATATATCATCAATAATATCAGTGATAAATTCAAAAACAATTTTTTTTCAATTATATTTATTATGAAAATACTTCTCAAGAGAGCTTCTGATAAAGTCTAGATTGACATGGTTATTGTACTAAGATTTTATAATTAACATAGTTTAAATACAATTTTAAATTTAAATCATTGTACCATATTCCTTATTTTATTTGAAAGACGACCAAGTAAGAAGTTTAGCGGTTTAAGACTCTCAAATTAACACTAGAAAGTTGTATAAGTGTTAAACAAAATATATTTTCTTAATATCTAAAGCTAAGGGAAACTAATAGGTTTCTAAATTATAAAATATATTTGAATTTCTTTAGCTTGCAATAAATTCACATATAAATTTATCCCTAAAATCAAAGCTTACTCATATAAATGATCCTAATGAAATACAACAGATTTTTTCTATAGTTTTTGGATAGTTTAACAAGAATATGTTCTGTTGTTCCATATTTAAATTTCACATGAACAAAGTAATTTCCAGTGTTTTAACAAAACCAAAATATGGCTTAAAATATAGATAGTTAATCAAGTTCTACCTTTTCCCAAAACCAGTTTACTTACAGGCCCTGTTCTTTGCAGCGGAAACCCCTCTCGGCCCCGTGAAAGTCTCCTTCCATTCCCGACACTTGATTGTCAGCAGGGTAATAGACGCCGTCAGCCAGTTTGGGGCGGCCATTAAGCGTGGCCAATACCATTACCATTAACATTTCTCGGGCAACTTGCAGCTTACCTGTTGTCATGAGTTGTGGTTTTTCCCCTGAGCTCCACTACTATTTCGTTTCGGTTCATTTCGGTCCAGTTCATTCAGCTTCTCTCTGCCCGCTTACGCTATCTTCCATTACACGTTAAATGAAAATGCCAGATAGCCAGGACACACGGCACACACGCACTCCAAGGGCCGCCTCCTTTTGGCCCTGCGATTCGATTTGTGCCAACTAATGAGCTCTTAATGCGCGTTTATTCTTACGCATAACGAGCTTGCCAAACGTAATTACGTCCTGAAACTGTATGGGTGTATGTGTGAGTTTGTGGAGACTCTTGTGCGCTCGCTCTGTGTCTGTCTGTGTGCCGCCAGTCTGTGGGTGGGTGTGCGTGTGTATCTGTGAGAGGCTGCCATGTTGGCGCGATGCTTAATTGAAGTGGAGCGACAGGCGGACGAGCTGTATCCCTGGCGCTTCCTTGTGTATCCTTTGGCCCCGGTTAATGTCTGTGTGTGTGCGTCGCGTTCATTTGCGGCACATCCGCAACGTTAACTCGCTGCTTCGTCTGCTCGCTCCCCCCACCATTTTTTGTTTTAAATTAATTTGCTTTTAATTTGCTTTATTATGTGGCAATTTCTCCTCCTTTCGCTGGCTTTAATTAGTTTGCTTTTATCGTTAAACAGTTAACGGCGACTTTCCGTCGCGAATTGTGTGCCAAAAGCGAGCAAAGAAATGAATGTTTTATTTCAGTCAGATTAAGTATACGCCCAGTGGGCCGTGGCAGAGTATGTGGATAATTGCCGCAGCCGATCGTCGCGCTCTTGGCAGCTGTGTTCCTGGCTGCACTTAGCGAAATCCTCTTATCTCTGGAGGAGGATTGAAATCTAAATGAGTCTGCGCATGCGTAAGTGGCTTTGAAAAAAAAGAGGGCATTCTCCAGCTGGAAAGAAGAACCAGTTTTTCCACTTCCTCCTCCTTCCAGATTTCCCATTCGATAGCCCGCTCTCTCTTTCTCCCAGCGGGGGCGTGGCCAAAACCCGACACTCTCTCACTCTCTAGCTCTCTGGCCATAGAGCGCGTCGGCGCAGTGAGCAACCAAAACACACACACACACACCTACTGGCACACACACCAGCCTGCCTTGTGGTAGACCATTGAAAAAGTGATGAAAATAACTCTCTGTCACTTTATTGGCGCTTAACGAGTTTGAGTTGATGAAGAATTTAATTTATGATGCTGCCACACCATTGCCAAAGCGAGCAGCCCCGAAAGAGATGGCAACAAACTGTGAGAGGGAGAGGGATGAGGCTGAGGGGGTGGAGAGAGAGAGTAGTCCTGGAGAGCCAGGAGGGAGGGGAAAACCGCAGAGCACAAAGCGGAAAGAGAGGCAAAAAAAAAAGGAAAAATTAATGAACTCGTAACTGTCGCTTTTGCAAATTGGGCTGTGCGAGTGTGTGAGTGTTGGTGAGAGAGCACACTCTAACACACATTCGAACACACTCACACACGGGAGGCAACAGCAGCCGACGCTGCCGGCAGACGTCAAGCTTTGATGATTTAATTTTCTGGTCTTCTAATTTAATTTTATTATAGAAATACAGACATGTGTGTGTGTGAGGGTGAGTGAGTGAGCCGAGGGATAACGAGAGCCCGTTCCTTAGCGGCGCCCGTGAGTGTGAGAGTGAGTGCCTCACACCGACACAGCGCAGACAGACACAGACAGACACACATGCAAATTCGTTAATGGAAAATGGTGGCGTTTAATTGAAAAAGGAAGTGCGCCAAAGGGCTGAGGGACAGAGACAGGCGCCGCGGAGCGAGAGGGAAGGGCCCGGCCAAAGGACTCGACGCAACAAGGACCGAGTTTTCCATTCAAATTAATTTTCATGTGTGGTGGTGGCAGTGTCCCTCAGCCTGCTCTGGTCTTGTTATTGTCCTTTTTATCCAACGCTTTTTTTCTGCTTTTAGTAACGCTTACTGTTGCAATAACAGTTTTCAATTAAATTTATTTGTTTTCATTTCCATTGTCAGAAAGAAAGACAAAAAAGCGAGCAAACTGCTCGCCCGCAGAGTTAATTGAATTAAATATTCCAGCGAGATAATTACAAAATGGCGTTGATTAATCGTCAGCCGCCATATTGATTTTGCCAGCAACAATATTTAATGATTAACAATTAACATTGAACAGGGATTTTTGATGCGGCCATTGCCATTGCCGTCTTCCCAAACCATCCATCCTCTTTGTGCCTTAATAAAAGCAATTAAAATTCATTAGCTGCAAACACACACACACACACACGACGTAAGAGAACCCACAATCACACACTAATGCCATCATCCGCTCGTTTTCTCAATTATTCATTCAATTTTGCATGCCACAAAAGCAAGAGCCAAGGCACCCACGCTCCACCACCCACTTGGCACCCACCCTGCGCTCCACGAAGCATCCTTCGCATCCTTCGCATCCTCCGCATACATATTCATGCGGCTAAATGAAAACGGCAACACTTAAATGCAATTTGCCTCAATTTTAGCAGCAGCAGCCAACTCCCCAACCCGCCAACCTCCTTCGCTTTCTCTGCCTCAGCGAGCGTCTTGGCTCAGAGCGTCTTAACGTCTTTTCATGGCACTTACATCGTCATTCTATTCGTCTAATTTCATTTTCTTGCCATTTTCAGTGGAGCACAAACTGCTGGAAGATTGCTGTGGGACAAGAGGTGGTTAGCTTGACTCGGTTTTCTGGGGCTCAACTGGCTTGGGTTTATTCCAGCTACTGGAGGACTTGGATCTGGCCTGCTTTATTCTAATTACAATCAATTAAATATGTTGATTGATATGTTTGTTTTGCTGCGACTGAAAGACTTGGAGCGGGAATCGGTTAAGTGCGGCAGGCAATTGGTTCATTGATTTGAATGTGTTCTGTTTGGAGCTTCACAGGATTAAATCAAGAAAGTGTAATTAGTTTACGACAATTTAATTGCAAGAAAGATGTGTCTAATAATGTTATTAACCAGAAGAAAGAGAAAATAAAGTATCTAATTAATATGTAATAATTTATAAATTTAATTGAAAAGTCTTAAATAATATAAAATATAAGACGCGTAACGCACAAAGGTGGTCAATTCTGCTTGCATCAAAAATCGTATGGCGTTACGCATCTTATTCTTTCTATTGTCTTTTGATAAAGAACGATTACGCTTCATATACATTTCGTTTGCATTCTATATTCTGTAAAATAAAGTTTTCTTTTTAGGTAATTCATACTAATATTACTATTACGAAATGTAACGTTAAATTTACTTGGGAGAACAGAATGTAAGACTTTCAGCTGTTAGGTAAAGATATATATATATTCATATTAATATTTTATAAATAGATATATGCTTTATATTCATTCATTTTACATTCGTTTCCTTTAAACACCTGCGAATATTCAAATTTATTGCTTCTATATCTATTATTCTACATTTTCGATCACCTACTTTGATGCCGTAGTAGAATTTCTAACTAATTATTTGCATATTATTTGCATTTTAGTGTGTCATTTTCATCTAATTCAACACCAACATAATCACAATCACCCGATACACACACACACACACACACTCAAGTACGGAGAGTAATTATTGCCATTCTGGGAAAAATTGCATTAATTTTCTAACAAACATTTTCATATTAATTGAACATTTTTTGTGCAATCAATTTGCATATCAAGCATTAATAAATGGAATTATCCGTTTTTAATTGCATTTCTCAGACAAAAGTTTTAGTTTTGCCAAAAAATAAATGGTTTTGTCCATGTGAATGTCGCTGGTCGCCGCACACATAGCCGAAAACGAAAAGCGCGACCGAAAAATTAAGCTTTATTTGTGGAAATTGCAATTCAATTAAGTTTTCAAAACATGCAAATTGCGAATGGGCGCACAGCACAAATATTGATGCAGACACAGACCGGAACTTGTTTGTATAATTTCATTAGCGTTGATTTGCAGCAAATGCAATTGCAGGGGAATTCACTTGGCCTGCCATTGATTAAACAAGTCGTCGATGTCGAGGCCCCTGCTCCATGCACCATGCCCTGTCCCATGTGGAGGCTCAAAATTGCATTCGATCCGGGCCGGGTCCTCTCTGACTCTGACTCCGGGATAAAAACTAATTACAGGGCAATAGTCCGTTGTCGCTGCTCGAAAATTTCCATCTATGTTTAGGCGCCAACCGATAATTATAAGCCTGGAAACTGGAACTCTGATTGCCAAGCAGCAGCTGTAATCGAAGGAGAGGGGAGCGGGGCGAGCGGGTAGAGGAGATGAGGGTGCTTCGCCGCAGGAGGCCCAAAACCCAATCCGATTCGCATTCCAGTCCCATTCCCGTTGCCAATCTCAATCCCAATCCCAGGGCAAACATGTCCGCAACAGTTTCCGCTGCACTAACGAAATTACAGACGCAGGACCCACACACACACACACACTCGCAGAGCATGCGTGTCCTGCGGCGATTTTGCGCACAGGAAGCGGAACAGGCCCAGTGCCCTGCCACGACTAATTCTAATGCTAATGCTCTTTGAACGACTAATTAGTGGATTACTATATAAGCACACTATTTGCCCAGCAAACGGCAACCTCCAGGAAATTGTGCGGAAGACTGGCCAGGACCTAAACCAGAGACAGAGACAGAGACAGAAACAGAACGAGAACCACAACCAGGACCAATTAACCAGGCCTCGAAGCTAAGGGAAGCTCGGTAAAGGGGATGAAACATTGGGAAATTTACTTTTGATTATCAAAATACAATTTCAATCCTATTATTTAAATTTAAATCTTTGCCTTAAATTAATATTGATTATAATTAATTATAATTATAACAAATTTCATGATAAATTGCAGAAATGCTTGCATGAAGAAATATGAAATATAAAATTCACTTTTTTTTTATAAAATTTAGAAACTGAAATATTCCTGGTCAAGCTTGATACTGATTCACGTAGACCGTTCGATCGTCGAGTGCTTGCACCGGCCTGGCATTTCTTCCAATACGTCCTCCACGCCTGTCCCTCAGCTGCCTGAACTCATTCAGTTGGCGCTCGCTAATGGCCAAGGCCACCGGCTGGATAAACCACTCCGCCCCGCGGTGGCACGGTGGCTCCGTCAGGGATCCGTGGTAACTGAAGAACTCGGTGTGGAAGGCGGGCATCAGGTAGCCCAGCGGAAAGGGAGGAATCTCCACCGTCTGGCCGGCTTGCTGCACGGCCACCAGATGCTGGACAAGCACGTCCAGGAACGGATTGTCCTCGGACAGATCAAACAGGTAGGATATCACGAGTACGCCCTGGGACGAGGCGCAGTGCTGGCTGTCGGCGTCCGTGTGAAGGCACTGCATCTCTAGTGGACTGTGCCTATGGTTGATTGTGTGCTCCGACCCGTTCAAACTAAACCAGCTCCAGCGGAAGGTGATCTCCCAGAAGTGGAAGCGACCAAGCAAGTCCCCGCCGTAGATGGAAGGCGTTGGCCCCTGGAAAGCGGCTCGCAGGGTGAGGGTATGCCCGTTGTTCTCCAGGCGGATGCCCAGGGGCATGTCGTCGTAATGGGACCACATAAGCGGGGTATCAAAATATTTTATCTCCAAGCAGCCCACATCTATGTTGATGGGGCTCTGGTTGTTTAATGGCGCATTCCAGGTGTGTGGTCCCCTGATCCAGTCGTAGTCAAAGGAATTCTGAGAGCCTCGGGGGCCGCATTCCGCCACGTCGCCGTAACTGCCGGATGTTAGATCCGGATTACCCCTTTCATTCTGTGCATTCCTAGCTGCCCCCTCCAATCTCTCATCCGGACATTCTTCACAAAGTTCGGTGGTCGTGCGGACGATCGCCAAGACCAGAAAGGCCACCACAACGGCGGCTACGATCTGGACGAGATCGGTGTCCAACCAACTAGATAAGTTGTCCATTCAGCACAGGAGCTACTTCGGCATCACTCACACCAAATAGAAGCCAAGCAGGGAAACTTTTTGGGGGGGAAATGCTAGCTACAGAGCGGGTGATAGCAAAATACTGGCCTTCCTGGCTCAGAAAATTTCTAATTAAACCCGCTGAAAAGTTAATTATTTTGGAAAACAAATTGGGCGGACAGCAATTTTGTGCGAAAACATTTGCAATTTGTTTGCATTTGTATTTTGCATAAATTAATTACGCACAAAACTCTCTTCGGCGGCGGAAATTGCTTGCACAAATATCCTGTGAGGCTCCCGCGCGATGCTCCTGCTCCCTCCCACCTTTCCCTCACCCAATACGAACCCTTCTCTGTTGCATTTTGGGAAATTAATTAGTTTTGTATGTACAAAATAGGCGAAATGAGCACTAGGAGCCAAACGGAAATTATTTTCAGCTTACCGGCAAGTTTTTGTGCAGCGGCCAGGAATTACACCGAAATTAATTGCCAAAAAAATATTGAACCCCTACTTGGTCCGCATTATTAAGTGAATTAAGTTATTAGTGATGAGTCCAGACTGAATAAAAATAAGAATAAAACCCAGAAAGCTACGACAACAAATCATATTTACTAAAGGATTTTTCAGGATTGCTTTTATATCAGAGAAATCCCTAAATTATTTAATGACCCACTCTAATTAAGATATGTTTACAGTTTCATTTGATATTGTTTTGAATGTACAGCATAGTGATTGGTGCCTGCCTCTCCTGTAACTTGAGACTTCTCGGCCATCTCTGATTAGCATAAAGTTATCAAGAACCAGACACGCCCATAGCCACAGGACAGGGATCAGGGGTGAGTTGCCCCTGCGATTCAATTATGACATTTTTCTGATCAATTCGTTTGGCTTTGATTTGATTTCATTTTCCTGCACTTGTGCAGGGCGTTGACGTCTGCCAAATGTTACAAATTGTCCGCGTCTGACTTCTCCTGCCCGCCTCTCGGCTCTGTGCCTGTGAAAGTGGACCTGGTCTTGGACCTGGACTTGTCCTGGGGCATGCGAGTTGCACGCAAATTGACGGGTAAGCATGTGGCATAAACGGAAACACTAACATCGTTAGGCGAGTCCTGCCAGAGGGTGCCGAATAACAAAATACCCAAATAACGGAATAACAATCATAAACATTTTTGAGCGAGAACAGAACCAGGCCCCGCGGCAGTTGTTTTCATTTGTGACCGAATGACTCGATTTTTATGGTCGCTTAGGGTTAATTGAGGCTGTAGTATCTGCAGCCCGAGGGGGTTGCTCGTTACACAATATTTGTTTTGGTTACATGGTTTAATATCCGGTGAACAAAGCGTTATTTAAGTGGGAATTTGGACAAATCAGTGTTTGATAATATTTAACTATGAATTTTGTCTATTGAAATATGTTAGAAAAGTAAAATAAGGCATCAATAAACGCTCAGTAAAAGAAAGCCTGAATTAATACCCTTGACCAGTCTTCTCTTATTGTCCTAACAACTCACTTAACTGCAGACCAAGAGTGAATAAAAGCGGGAAAAAATGACTGCAACTGCAATGCTGACACTCACAAACATGCGAACGAAATTTCCGTTTCCGCTGTGGGGGGAAACTCTGTTAAAGCGACGCGAAAATGGAGCCAAAGAGAAATCGCTGGCACAGGATAATGCAAACGAAATTTGTCTCACTTTGAATTCGATTGATTTGTCTGCCTGCACGGCTCGATAATATCCTCTTAAATCACTTAACCACATTTGCCGATTACTGCGCGCACAGAAGAATGTCCTGGCAGTCGGGCGCAGCGGGAGCCCTGGGTGCGGTGTAAATTTTCACACATTATTCCAGGATGCCAGAACAAGGACGAGACAATTACTAGGCTCCGATAACATTGTCTAGTGGGATTTTCTCCACCTATACGCAGCCGTCTCTTTTGCGCACAGCTGATAATGTTAATATGCGCCGCAGGACATCAAACACGGCGAAGGGCGAGGGATCGGGACGAGGTATTAAGGCCACTCAACTTTGTTTGGCCAATCCGCTTATGTCCTTTCGCTCGCTTCACATACATTCCAAGGGTCAGGATTATGGGTTGTATGTGATTTTGAAGTGAACAACGTAGGTCCTGTGTGAGAGTGTTTAGTTCCTTCACCGCAAAAACTTCCTCAAGATCGTTTTGCGGCCATGTTGCCCCTGTAAATCACTCTCTTTCGCTCTGCGCTCCTCAGCTGCCTGCGAATGTGATCCTGATCCTTGTCGCAGCATGCGTCCTTTCACTACCTTTGTGTTGTTTTCACAGCCTCCAGCCACAGTTGCCCTCATTAGCAGCTTAGGGGCGTTGACGTGTTTTGCTTGCTTGTTTACAATGTTTGCTACTTGCCAGGCACAATAATGTCCTTGTTTCCGTCTGAAAGACACTTCTTTCGGTGCGTGCATGTTGCTTCCGCCTCAATAGGAACCAGAGGTTCCATTAAATAATAGTATCATTGGCATGCACAAGAACCGAAGAACGCCTACAGGAACCGAGATCGACAGGGGTGGAAAGCGGTCTGGGGATGATTGTTCAAATCAAATCTAGCGTTGCGATCGCTCGTCAGCTAATTTAGTTCGCAATCAATCGATCTATTGATCTGCTTCAGTTGACAATGCTTTTAGGGGATTATATTAGCACTTGTGCAGCGATAATCGAAGGTCCAATTTGATAGTTTGTTATTTTGCCATTGGATCATTTCATTTTAATAATATTCCAAGGGGTTAGACACACTCTAGATTCTAAGCAAGACGCAAGAGAAGCTGTGGGAGGAACAGGGTCAGCGGGTGCTCCAGGAGCGGGACACAGAAGAGACACACATACTCAAATCAACCCAATGTAAGCGCTGCTATAAAGTTGGATTACCAAGAATTACCAAGAGGCCACGAAGCAAGCTGAAGCTTCTGCCCCTTCACAGGGGTAACTGGAAGGAGCCTGCACCGGTGTACCCGGCTTTGCTTAAAAAATAAAGAATGATTACAATTTTCAAGAACCTCAGAGATGGAGTCTATATTCTTAACAAACTATATAAGCCGGAAACAAGAAAGGAAGCTATCTTCGGCACGCCGAAGTTTGTATACCCTTGCAGATTGGTTTCGATGTTTAAATTATAGATTTAAATTCTGAAAACACTCACAAAACAGAGTTTCATTAAATTTTACCTATACTTATTATGTTTACAATTTGACAGTTTCAGTTTTACATTCCCAGCTTTACATATTTTATACATTTACCGATCGCTTCTATGGCAGCTATATGATATAGTTGTCCGATTTTTATAAAATGTATAGCAAAATTCTAGAATAATAAAAAAAAGCTTATATCTGAGAGTAGATAAACATACGTTGAAAAAACGCATGAAATTCAATTCGGAAAGCTGTTCTGCATTGGGATTTCTGCGCTTAACAAAACTGCTTACTCAGTTTTTCTTATAACCTTATCTATAATTTAATTTAATTTTACATAGCTTTATTTCTTATATTTACAGCACTCCAATAGCGAAAACGAGAGCGTGCGCAGGGATCTGGGAAGCACAAGTTCATCAAGTTCATTGTAATTGTTGATTGATGATCACCTGATCGGCAGAGGTGAAGCTGGAGAAGCGAGCAGCTGGGATGACAGATCTCAACCCGATGGCAGTGGAGGCCGGTGATCGGATCTTGGCTCCGGGCTAGTTAAAACACTGCAGCAGGCGTAAATAATTAAAATATTTATAAATGCAATTTAAATATGTAAATGTAATTGATGGAACACACAAAAATGAATCAATAAAAGATGGTGAAATCAATGTGCAATTTTTTTGTGAAGGCGGCATTTATTTGGGATCGTTTGGGGTAAAATCTAATTATTTTGAAAGCAAAATCTAAATTTTTAAATTTGTTATCTGAATTTTAAACATTTTTTTCGGATGTTTTACAATTCTTCTACATTTTTAAAAAATTGTTCTAAATGTTTAAAATTTTTCTGAATTAAAAATTTTTTTTTCCTCAATTTTTAACATTTTTTAGATGTTTTATATTTATTTAAGATTTTTTTAGAATTAAACAATTTTTTTTTTAAATATTTTAACTGCCAAATTTGAATTTGAGTTTAACTGCCAAATTTGAATTTGAATTTAACGACGATCAGTTTCAGTGTGCCCAGGTGCAGTTGTAAAATAACACCTAAATTTGGATTCAAAAGGTTTGAGTCTCCACTAACTTGCGCCGGCTCCTAAATGGTTTGGAACTTGGACATTTTATAACAGTTTATACCCGTTTTCAGCTGCTTGCTGCTGATTTCTGTTCGCCTGTTACCCCAATTTGGGAAATGGGCCATTTGCTTGGAAATGTTCGGAAATTTGGAAGGGCTGCTGTAGGGATGTTGTTGTAAAAAGGTTGTTGTTGCCATAAACTGTTGTTGTCGGCAACAAATAGGTATAAATGCATAAAATGAAATATAACAGTTTATACCAATTATTATTTTTGCCCAAATATTTTTATAACAGTTTATACCAGTTTTCAGTTGCTTGCTGCTGGTTTCTGTTCGCCTGTTACCCCAGTTTGGAAAGCGGTCAATTTGAATGAAAAGTTTTGTTCACTTGCATCAGTGATGCTCATCTGCATCAGTGATGCTCATCTGCAACAGTGATGCTCATGTGCATCAGTGATGCTCATCTGCATCAGTGATGCTCTATTGGGACAAAATGCATCCCTAACTGCCAGTGATGCTCAACTAGCTATTTTGCATTATTGGGACAAAATGGAACCTCACTAAGTGCCAGTGATGCTCATCTAGCTATTTTGCATTAATGGGACAAAATGGCATCTCACTTACTGCCAGTGATGCTCATTCAGCTATTTTGCATTATTGGGACAAAATGGAATCTCACTAACTGCCAGTGATGCTCATTTAGCTATTTTGCATTATTGGGACAAAATGGAATCTCACTAACTGCCAGTGATGCTCATCTAGCTATTTTGCATTATTGGGACAAAATGGAATCTCACTAGCTGCCAGTGATGCTCATCTAGCTATTTTCCATTAATGGGACAAAATGGCATCTCTCTTA